TTATCAATTTCATAAAATAATATTTTGAACTATATTTAGATTACTACTGAAAAGAACACCATTAAAATTGGTCTATACAATGTAAAAATAGCAATTTTTCCCAGGCCTTCAGCCTCGAAACCCCGATCGGCCCCCTTGCCGGCCCCCTGGCCTTCTTGGCCCCCATCTTCAGTGCTAGTTCAACTTGCAACCTGACCACTTCAATTCCCGTGGCTACGGCACTGCTATAGTCTTCAATTTTTTTTTTTTATGTTAGGCAGTTATCATCCGACGAATTGATGGCCTTGGTAAAACATCGCTATGCGCCGCATCAGCGCGTCGTGTAGTGTGCCATTTGCAAAATACACCGAATTTTTTATATTCATACAACGATGACATACACTTTATAATTGTATTTCATTGACCAAAGAATGGGTTACAGTTGATTTAAAACTAATTATTAACAATAATTTGCAATTGCAAAACTCATTTATAATATGAAATCAGCATTAATGTAGTTAAAACTACAATATTTATGTTTCCAATAATTCATGATGCGAGTTAAAATCTGAGACTGCAGCTTAGCTCAGTCGGCTAAACTGGTATTAGCCACTGTGTGTGCTCTGAACCTTGGAGATCTAGGTGCCCGGTTCAATTCTTATCGCTGCTCTAATTGTACTTCATTTTTTTCGATGTATTTTTCTTTATCGTTTTCCCACTGATTTTCTTTTATCAGGTTATGTACATATTAATTTATAAGGCAGAACGTGTTATTATATTAGTTGTTGTAAGGAAAGGTGTACCGATGATACAAAAGCTTCATCCGATCAATTGACAAAATTGACTTTTGATGCACTCCAATACAGTACTGGTAAGCCTTAACACACCTTCTAAAAACGTTATAAAAATTTAAATCCGGATTTACATAAAAAATAGAGGAAGGAAAACAGGATATCTTTATAATCCTTTGGAATTTCGATATCACACCTATTTCCTTATCGTTCTATATACCCATTATTTGACTGCATCAACAAAAACTCAACCAACACCGGCAATGAGCGGTAATGTTATTTCTGTACTTCTACTGTACTTTAGAGGTCAGTGCCCGAAGTGACTCTCTTCTACGATTAATATTGCCTACTTTATTTCAATTTATCTGTTACAGTTATTGGTAGCTTATCATACATATATCATCAAATATGTTTCATTTAAATAATGTTATTTAATTTGTTTAACTATAAGTATTAACATTATTCTAACCCATGTTTTATAAAGTATGCGTATTATATTATATACCGGTATATTGTATTATACTTAACCTCGCCGTTTCACTAAAAAGTGTCCCCTTAATAACGGTGTCCCCTGAATAGGGGTTTCCCAGAGTAGAGGGTTCTACTGTATTATAACAGTGGTATAGTACAGTATAGTTTGTATCTTGGACGAGGTCTTGAGTCGCGGAAAACTAGGGCACAATAGTAAAGGTCCTTAGAATTAGAAGTAAAAGGTTGCTGACCGGAGTGTTAAGGAACCAAGGGTCGTGTGTTTGATTTGCGTCTTGGTATTCAATTTTTTTATTTATTTATTTTTTTTTATTTTGAGACTTTTTATTTGTTTTTTTCTATTTTATGACACTTAAATTTTGTACAAATGAACATTGCATTTTATAAATTATATTTCATTAGCTCTTCCAACTGTTTTTTGTCAAACAGTTCTCAAATAATTATAGAATATTAATTTATACACAAAAAATACCAAAACAAAACAAAAAAACAAACAAAAACAAAAATTTAAAATAAACACCAAGGCGCGATTCGATCTCAGGATCTGTAAAGGCCGTTTTTCACTTGAAGAATTTATTCGAGCGAATCGAGGACGTCGGTTCACTTCCTGAGCTTCTATTGGCTGTGCATTTTTTCGCCTCGTAAAAAGTAAAAACAGTTCGAACCACAGATTTCGATTTAACTCCGATAGGAATGTGAATGTAGATAACGACTCTTTCGATTCGCGCAAATAAATACGCATAGTGCAAAACTAGTTTTAGCGCCGCAGCGCTTATTCGAGCATTAACGGTAGGCTAGTCTGCACTAACATCATTCCTCGATAATTTACTGCTTTTCAATCGCGGGAGGTGGTCTCACAGGAAAAAGGGTCCGATAAAAAATGTGTTATATTTAATCGTTCCGTGATTGTTGTTTTATGTAGTGCACTTGGTTTTCTTTTCTTTTTTTTTTCTATTAAACTTCTGCTCACAACATAGAATAAACAATAGTAAGCATGTGGACGAAATCTGGTGAAAGTACACCCTGTCTCTTATACACATCTGATGTGTATAAGAGACAGTTTTGTTTGCTGTTTTATGGGTTTTTCCCATTTGCCTTTCAAACGTAACAGTAATTTAATTTAAATTACACAGTATCTACAATATGTAATTTAAAAATAAAGCAACGAATAATTAAATTACACCTGAACAAGTTCACCCGCCAGAAACAAAAAGAAAAAAAAACATGAATACAGAAAACATTACAATAAAAAAATATTTTTTTTTTAAATATACACATAGTGTAGGTGATTTAAAAACTATTTACAAAGCAAATAATAAAATGAACATAAAATAACAAAATGTGAATATAAATTAAGATAGAAATATTACACTCTGGTTTAAAAAAAATAAATTAAAAACAATAATAATAATAGAAATAATAATTTAATTAAATTTAATTTAAAGGTTAAAGGTTATACATTTAATTTACACAATATCAATATTTGACTCAATTAATAAAGCCACAGAATAACTAAATTGAATCTAATTTTAATTAAAAGCAGTAAGTGATTGAAATATATGGTCTGTAAATATATGAATGTATAGCAGCAGTCAATAAGTGAAACATTTGAATATATCATTTAATATTCTTATTATTTGAATTAAGTTTGTAAATTAAGATGATAAAATAGGTAAAAAAAAAATAACAGCGACAAATGAAACATCTACATGAAAATAACCACGAACAAACATTCAAAGGATCTAAAGTGAGCAGTTTGGAGTCAGAGTTTGTCAAAAGAGATTTCTTGAGAGCAGAATGATATGGATAGATAAGCTGAGCTGAGGAGGATCAGACCAAGATCTTTCATTTTACTGACTCTAATCATATTATTGTTAGCTAGATAGTACCCAAAATTTATGGGTGAGTGTAAACGTGATATAGTTAGAACATTGCATTAAGATATATTGAAATTCAAGTTTCATAGTTCAGACCAAGCAAACATTTGGTTGACATCATTCTGGAGTGTCCAGCAGTCACTTAAAATTCTAATTTGCGATAGCATTTTGTATCATCTGCATAGAGCTCAACATGTGTACCAGCACTACATCTTCGAGGCCATTAATGAACATTGAAAATAGAAGCGGTCCAAGTATCGATCCTTAGGGCATACCAGAATTTGCATTATACAATGACGATGAATAAATCTCGAGAAAAATCTCTGTTGCCTGCAAGCTAAATAGTCGACAAACCATTTGTAAAGAGATCCACTAATACCAAATGAGCCCAGTTAATGAGTAAGCATCTCATATTGGACAGAGTCAAAAGAACGCGAAAAATCTACATACTGTATATTATATCACATGGACCAGATTTGTCCAGAACTGGTTAGAGATTTGTGTAAAGCGACCTTTCACAAATCCATGCTGGTTTCGGCTAAGCTGTGGTTCAATGAAAGGATAAATCAAAAAAAAATATACAGCTTTCAAGAACATTACTAACAAGATTAAGTAGACATATAGGTCTATAGTTCCTTATGTCCTCCTTGTTGCCCTTTTTTGAAAACTGAAACGACAGTTGCTTTCTTCCAAGCAGAAGGGAGCTTACCAATAAGTAATGATTTGTTAAATAGAATACAAAGCGAAGGGGAGATGTTAGCAGCACATGTTCGGAGTACAATAGCGAAAGATCATAACCAGCTGATTTGCTGCAGTCAACTTCTTCTGTTGTGAGATGAAAAGATGATAATTAAGGAATAACCCAATTGTTTATATCAGACACACTGTGGCATGAATTTGAGTTGAAAATTGATTTGAAATGCTCACAAAATGAGTTTGATAAAATAAGTTCCGAGGTAATGATTTACTTTTAGTTCTGGCTCTCACACAAGACCAACACTGATTAGGATTAGCTTTAACTTTAGCAGAAAGATTGTAAACATAATTATACTTTGATGTAGCGATATTCTTCAATCGATTGCGCAAAATTCTGTATTTCTCCCAGTGAATTGGCGAGTAGGATTTTTTGGCTTTGCGCCTATGTTCTTTCTTTAAAAAAAGAAAAGTAAATCACCTCACCATCTATCCAAGGTGACGATTTGTTATTTTTGACTTAAGCTTTTTATACGACTCAATTGAGGTGATACACATATCATGCCAAGACGACCAATCGATGTTTGTATCAGGGTCAAGAAAAGCAGTGTCAAACGGAATGTGAAGCAGATGTTCTTTGGGACCACTAAAGTCGTTCAGTTCAAAGTTATAGCAAACACGACGAATTTCTGGGTGTTTCTCAATTCTAGTTTGAATACTAAATTCTATTTTATCAATGATATACAGTCTTGAGCCAATACAGATGTATATGGGTGCAGTTTTGTGAAAAGCTTACTGATTTGTTGACAGGTGTTTACGATAAAATGCATTGTGAATTGTGTGTTATGCTAAACGATTCTCTTTTATGTATATTCACAAACTGTAGAATAATCAAAATAGACATATTATGTCTATTTTAATCATTCCTCAGCTACGATACAATCTGTATTTAATACAATATTGATACATTAATTTTATATTGAACTATAACAGTAAACCTACCTAATCACAGTTCTGTAAGGCATACCAAATTGGATTTGCTCCCAATTTTACTGGACAGTTTGCATACATTATTTTCTATAGAGGAGTGGGATTTAGTCGGCCGTATGGTTTCCTACTGTCTTTCTCACATATATGATCCAATTCTAGCTCCTGAAAAACGTGGTGCAGTATGTAGTAATTAAAGTCAGTTTTCATTACTTTTTTATTAACAGAAGCTCCAGTAACCGATGCACTAACCACTCTATCACAAACCACTTTTGCACCGACTACTGTAAAATGGACAACTAATGCACCAACCACTGATGCACTGACTACCACTCAAGAACCGACCACTGTATCACCAAGCATTATAACACCGACCAATGATCGACCAAACTTAAACTGGACAGATGGTAAGTTGAAGCAATATTTAATGGATTGCGGGAGTTAATTAGCTTTGTGGTTAAGACGCTTTGTAGTTAAGATGCTTGCCCTCTAATTCAAGGGTCCTGGGCTCAATTTTGTCACAGCAGGATTTTTTCTCATGACCAAAAACAACTCTATTCCCAAAGCCTTATAAAGAGACTTGAATTTAAGCATAATTCCATCCTGCAATATGTAGTAATAAAAGTAAGTTTTCATTAGGCGCGATCTACAAATTATCCCCAACGACAGAAACGGGTCAAACACGTTTACTATTGTTATATGACAAGCTCCCAAACGCGTCTGTGAAATGCCGTTTGGAAGCTTGTCGTTCGAGCCGTTTATTCCGTTTGGAAGTTAACTCCTCCCCTTTTCATATGGCTGACTGCTCGTGAATGGCAAAATGTTAAAGGGTCCTGGGCTCAATTTTGTCACAGCAGGATTTTTTCTCATGACCAAAAACAACTCTATTCCCAAAGCCTTATAAAGAGACTTGAATTTAAGCATAATTCCATCCTGCAATATGTAGTAATTAAAGTAAGTTTTCATTATTAGAAACGGACATAGAACGGACTGCTAATACACCAAACAATGATGCATTGACCACCAATCAAGAACCGACCACTGTATCACCAGCCACTATAACACCGACCAATGATCGACTAAACTTAAAATCGACAGGCGGTAAGTTAGAGTATGTTGAATTAATATTTAATGGAGTGCGGGAGTTAATTACCTTTGTGGTTAAAATGCTTGCCCTCTAATTCCAGGGTCTTGGGCTCAATTACTGTCACAGCAGGACTTTTCACGACCAAAAACAAATCTATTCCCAAAGCCTTATAGAGAGACTTAGATTTAAGCATAATTCCATCCTGCAATGTGTAGTAAATTCAGTAAGTTTTTTATTATTTTTCCAGAAACAACAGGAGCAGCAACAACCGCAGCACGAACCACTCTATCACGAGCCACTGATGCACCGACTACTCTAGCAAAGACCGCTGCAGAACGGGCTACTAATGCGCCAAACAATGATGCACTGACCACCACTGAAGAACCGACCACTGTATCACCAGCCACTATAACACCGAAAAATAATCGACTAAACTTAAAATCGACAGGCGGTAAGTTAAAGTATGTTGAATTAATATTTAATGGTGTGCGGGAGTTAATTACCTTTGTGGTTAAGATGCTTGCCCTCTAATTCCATGGTCCTGGGCTCAATTTGTGTCACAGTGGGATTTTTTTCTCATGACCAAAAACAACTCTACTCCCAAAGCCTTATAAAGAGACTTGGATTTAAAGCATAATTCCATCCTGCAATATGCAGTAATTAAATTAAGTTTTCATTATTTTTTTCCAGAAATAACAGGAGCAGCAACAACCGTAGCACGAACCACTCTATTACGAGCCACTGATGCACAGACTACTGTAGCAAAGGCCGCTGCAGATCGGAGTACTAATGCGCAAACCAATAATGCCCTGAACACAATTCAAGAACCCACCATTGAATCACCAGCCACTATAACACAGACCAATGATCGACCAAACTTAAACTTGACAGGTGGTAAGTTAGTGTATGTTGGAGTAATATTTAATGAAGTGCGAGAGTATATTAGTTTAGTGGCTAAGTTACTTGCCCTTGAATTCCAATGTCCTGTAGGCTATGGGGTGAAAATCCTATCGTTCAACCCCATTGTGAATTTATCATAATACTTAAACTCCTCATGATAATTACTTCAATAATATCTATCAGCACTACAAAAAAGTTCGACCGTAAGAACTTCTGCAAACACGAAAAAATGACGTTTAAGCATACGAAATTGAAAATTCTTTGTTTGTACAGGACATTTTATAACCGTCATTGTACACTTTCGAATATTGTTTTTTTTTTTTTTTTTTTGATACGTAGTTTATTTTTTACTAACTTGGTATTACTGCTTAAAAAACAAATGTAAAAAATATAATTAGCTATAGTTTGTATTTTAATAAAGGAATAATATTTTTTAACGTACTTGTAAGTTGGTTTTGTTACAATAACTTCAGCCAACAACAACATGGCTTCGTCTAGTGACGGACATGTGTGACGATGAAGAAATAAAGAGTTGTTTCGCAGTGAAGGAATCGCTAATACGGTGGTACTTATACACATCCTACAATTATTCTTTAATGTTTTGTTAATTAAATAAAAAAATAAAAAATTAGTATAAACCAGAAAAGAAAAACAGCCTAGGCTAGCCGCTGCACTGGACCTTGTCTACTACTATAGTTATTTAGGCCTAGGATGCTAGTTTTACTCGGGGCCAGTGATTCTTCCGGGCCTACCGTCTAGACATATACATTAAGTCAGCATTCCGCAAACTTTTTACTTCATGGCCTATTTACGATTCCAGGCACCAAGCCGCGACCCAGCAGCCCAGCCGCGCCAGGGACCAACATACCAAATCCTGGCAAAAACTTTTAATCATGAAGCACCCATATGTATATACCGACGTTCCGGAAACTATGGTCCGTGGCCAGCGTGACCACTCATACTTTTTGCTATACTCAATGACTGGGTAAAAATTAAATAAGGTTCAGCAAAAATTGCCCAAAATTACCCAAGCTTCCTGAAAATGCATTAAAATTTGAAAAATATATATTTTTTGCATGTATAGTTTCCCTTTTAGTTCAATTTATAAACCATTTTTATTGTAATTGTTTGTGTTAATTATTAAAATTAATATTCATGAGGTAATAATACGGATAGAAAAATACGCCCTCAGTCGGCCAGTGTTATCAGTGTAGATCAGTGATCAAGTTTTATTATGTAATGCATTAATTAGGTAAGATCAATGGCAACGCATATCACAAATTAAACAATTCTGAACCCATGTTTATAGCAATTAACAGTGTTATGTGCACTTAGATGAGTTTTGTTTACTTAAATGGACTGAAATATACTTAAGCCTGGTTCTCACGAGAGCCCTGTATCCGGATCGGGAGCTAACCGTTAGCGCGCTAACCGTTAGCACCTGCGTGAGAACGCCCGATCGGTTAACGCTAACCGTTAGAAGTATCTGGATACCGCTAACGGTTAGCAAGCTCTCTCGGTTAGCAAGTGAGCATGTTTCAATCATCAACCAATCACACGTACGCGTTTACAATTTCCAGTTTCTTCTTGGCTACTGATTCAATCATCATATTCTTGGTATCTGGATCGGTTAACAGGATCTAGATCCTGCTAACCGTTAGTTGCCGTGTGAGAACATAGCATTTGTTACTTCTTAATTCTTCTTATATAACAAAAATATTTAATTTGCTTAGTAAAATTAAAATACCCAAGGATTTGAACGGAGTACCCAAGAACCAAAGACCAAGTCAAAATACCCAAGATCTTGTGTAAATACCCAAGCAGTGGTCACGCTGTCCGCGGCCCAAATTTGGGCCGCGAAACATTTTTGGATGGAGGGCCGCGAAGCCTCCTGGAAATTGCAAAAAAAATAAAAAAATAAAAAAAATAACAAAGAGACGTTTCATCATGGACAAAGTTTTTAATAAAATGAATGCGTCGCTTGCACATGCGGCTAAAGTGCCAGGTGATGCGTGCTATTATTATTATTATTATTATTATTATTATTATTATTATTATTATTATTATTATTATTATTATTATTATTATTATTACTATTATTATTATTGTTCATCATTATTAGGTTTTGTTCTGTTTGCTGACGACACCAATCTTTTCTATTCAAACAAAAACTTACCAGAACTTTTTAAAATTACTAACGCTGAATTAAGCAAAGTATCCAACTGGTTTAAATTAAATAAATTATCATTGAACATTAATAAAACTAATTTTATTCTTTTTAATCACAAAACAAAACAAGACTATAATCATGTTTTAAAAATAGATAATAATATTATTAACCAGGTCAGTGAAACAAAATTTCTCGGTGTAACATTAGATTCCAAGCTTTCCTGGCAACCTC